CGGTCCGAGAGTAAGATTCTGGACTAGACGAGTGGAACAGATATTGTGCTGACAGCTTATACACAGGTTCCTCGAATCATTGTTCGATAACTCTATCGTTGAAGCTGACTCAATAATAGCCCAGAGGTGCTTAGGCACTTACCTTTGGGGCGACTTCAGCGAGGACGGCCTTTTAGAATATGCAACCCAGTACTGGCCCGCCCACGTGGAGAAGCTCAGCGGATCATCCCAAAGACTTGGGATTCAGAATCTCATCATCGAATTTCTCACTGAAGAAGAGCACTTCGAAGACTGGATTGAATGTCTTGATGAACGTCCAGTCGAGCAGGATTATAAATGGAGTGGCGCGCTCGGGAGGAAGCTTGAAGCGTGCCTGGCTTCGCCACCGTCAACTCTGTTCACAGTTTGCTGTTTTGGCCTTTCCGAAGTTCTAGAGTGTCCAGAGGTCATCGAGATGATTGATGTGAACCAGACCAATATACATGGAACTTCAGGCGTGTATCTGGCTGCTCGCTGGGGCTACACTGAAGTAGTCCGGAAACTACTTCAACTGGGCGCTGATGCCAACGGACCCGGTTATCAATATGGAAGTCCACTCCAAGCAGCGTCATTTGGTGGCCATAAAGACATTGTCAAAATTCTGCTTGACCGCGGTGTCACTGCCCCTCCGACTGAGCAAGGCGAGTACTCAAGTCCACTCCAAGCAGCTCTAGCAAGTGGCCATGATGATATTGCCGAGATCCTGATTGACAGTGGTCTCCATCTTGCCACACAAAACCAGTTCACTGATGCGCTAGAAACCGCCAGCTTCAAAGGATCTACTGAGATAGTAAAGCAACTTTTAGCCGGCAAGGCTGGCAGCTTCACCCCTGATATTCGCCCTGACCCTCTCCAGGTTGCCCTCTTCGGTGGCAAAGCAAGGCAAGCAAAGCGGTTGCTACAGAGCTGCACTGATGTCAATGAAGAAAAAGGCTACTTCGTGAATGCCCTCGCTGCCGCCATCGCTGGTCGTAAACTTGCCCTCGTGCAGTTGGTTGTTGACGCCGGAGCAGATCTTAACGCTCGCGGACGTTTTGGCTTCCCGTTGCGGGCGGCCACGATAGCTAATCAGCCTGATATTGCGAGATACTTCCTGGATAGAGGAATTGACCCCAATCTCAGAGATGAAGAGTTAGGTGACCCACTTCAAGCTGCCGCCTCTTGTGGGAACCTAGACATGATGCTTTTGCTTCTGTCCCACAATGCATCTGTAGATGGTTGTGGAGGGCACTTCAGCAATGCACTGCAAGCTGCCTGCTTCAATGGTCATGAGCAGGCCGTTCGACTTCTAATCGATCATCGTGCTTCATTGAATCACAAGGGCCGGTATCGAGACGCATTGCAAGCTGCCGTGTACGGTGGCCATGAAAGGATTGTCGAGATCCTTCTCGTAGCTGGTGCTAGGCTCAACCCAGGACGACGTGGTAGGGTATATCCATGCGCCCTCCAGGACTGGACGGAGAGAATTGCGTTACCAGGCACAAGAAGAGGGTGTGGGGAGCTGGACATTCCTAAGGATCTAGGTCCACTAGAGGTCGCTGCTAGACGAGGCGACGTCAAACTAGTCGAACTGCTCCTAGCTAAAGGGGCAACTATCGACGCTCGTGACGCGAATCGTCGAGACAATGAGTATAACAAAGGGTGTGCGTACACCGCGCTACAGATTGCGGCTTTTTGGGGACATCTCGCAGTGGTGGAGTGTCTTTTGGATCGTGGAGCCGATATTGATGCGGTACGACAGACACTTGGAACTCCATTGCAGGCGGCTTTGGAAGGGGGTCACTTCGATATTGCAGATGTGCTCTTGTCCAGGGGTGCAAGAATAGATAGTCATTGGGCCATGTTTGGATCCTGCTTACAGGTCTTTTCCGAGCGAGGGCATATTGAGACAGTCAGGTTTTTACTGGGGCGCGGAGCGAATATTGAAGATCGTGGAGGCGAGAACGGAAATGCACTCCAGGTAGCTTGCAACGCAGGACACATTGACATTGTGAAGTTGTTACTTGACAGCGGAGCCGATGTAAGGTCGCCTGGACGGAAAATAGGCAACGCTCTGCAAGCTGCATCAATGGCCGGACATCTTGACATAGTCAAGCTGCTAGTTCACAATGGTATAGGAGTGGACGAAGCAGATGGCATTCCTCAAACGGCGCTTTGCCTGGCTGCAGAGAAAGGGGACGAGGACATGATGAACTTTCTGCTCCAACAAGGAGCTAAAGTTGATGGCAATTCCGTTTTGTCGTCCGGTGAAAGACTCGGAGATCGAGACTCGGAATCAGGCGGCAAGGATGAGCTTGACGACGACGTTATTGCAATACCATTGCATCTTGCCTCCTTTCGTGGACAAGAGTCTGCCGTCGCAATTCTTCTCCGCAATGGAGCAACTGTTCATGCTAAAGGAAAGCTGCGGAAGAAGAGATCGGGCCCATCTGATGAATGCAAATTCAGCAGACTACATTGCACCCCTTTGTTCGCGGCATGCTTTTGGGGCCATGAGTCGATTGCGAGGCGACTATTTCTATGCGACCCGTGGGGATATGTTTCTCGTGACACATTCACGGTTGCCGTAGAGACGAGTCTTGCCCGTAAGAAGGAGTCCATTTCAACAATGTTGGTTCAAGAAGCATTTCATGCAGGATTCAAAGCGGAACAACTTGACGGTGTGTTCAAGTATGCTTGTGCAGGAGGATACGCTGCGGTTGTGACACAGATACTGGAGCATTGTAGTCTGGAACATTGGCCAGATGCAATGTTGGTAGCTACGAAGCATGGCAGGTCTGCCGTTGTCGAAGTTTTACTTCAACATGGGGCTAACATGAACTCCTGTGACGAACATGGCAATCTCTGTCTTGACATTGCAATCGAGATGGTCAGAAACCCTCGTTATACCTGGCTCAGTTTCGACCGTCACATCTTGCGGAGTTTCAACCCACCACATTGGATAGATGTAGTCCGGATCTTGCTTTGTGCAGGGGCAGACTCAAATGATTTGCCCAACAAGATCAGAGAAATCGTCCCCGACGTTGTACAAAGAGGGAGCCTTGATGCTTGGAAGGCATTGGACCAACATCAATATGAGGTGCTGAACGACCTTGAACTGTATCCGCAGTTCCTGAGTTGGGCATCGGAAACTGGCGACCTCAATAAGATCAATTATGTGGCTGACAAGTATGACCCTTCAACCGAGGATATTAAGTCTGCCATTTTTGCTGCGATCAAAAAAGTACGGAACAACGTATCCACTGTCGAGGCACTGATGAGACTCAAGACGCCACTATTCTTCGGCAAAGACGTCGATGGAGATGACGATAATGAGCCCTTAGTCATCGCGTCGAGAGAAGAATATACTGAGATTGTCTTTGTCTTGCTCCAGTACGCGACACACGGTTCTTCAACCGTTGAAGCAGCGTTAAAAGCCGCCATCGGACGCAAAAATGTCGCCTGCGCTCGACTAATACTTGACTCGCAATTCAACAATCCATCCGACCGAATAGATATATGCTCTCGCCTTATCAAATACTGTTTCCCCTTCAGCTCGAAACCTATTATCGAGTATTTGCTACAGCAAGGTGTATCCCCAAACACTAGGGACCCCGAAACGGGAGAAACGCTATTGTACATTGCCGCCATGAAGGAGGACAGCAAAGGAGCCGACGTTCTTATCTCACATGGTGCTGATGTTCATCCCATCGGAGGAGAGCATGGAACAGCGTTACATGCAGCAGCCGTCTCTGGGTCCTGGATAACAGTGCAGCTGTTGCTTTCTGCAGGTGCAGACATCAATGCTCAGGGTGGGAGTTATGGTACGCCACTTATAGCGGTGATGGCACAGAAGTGGAATGGAACTTGCTGGCTGGCTAGGTTCAAAAATCCCTGCAGATGGAAATGTCATCGCTGCGTTGCGAGAGTGCTCTTAGAGTGGGATGCGGATGTTGATGCCGAGGGCGGAGAGTTTGGGACGGCCTTACAGGCTGCGGAGAGGATTGGTAATGAGGAGGGCATAAAGATGCTCATGGGGGATAGTGAGGTGATTTTGGGAGATTATCTTGAGGCATTCATGTAGGCTAGTCACGTGCTGCGCTCAGGCCGCCTATATAAAGTGTCTCTTCGCGTTGCTTTGTTTTGCTTTCTTAGATAATTTAATTTACTTTTTTGCTTCGTGTTTGTTCTGTTTATTTGTTTATTTTGCTGCTTTTGTTGCTGTAGAGCGCTCCTCAAGAGATTATAATGCCCAGGCTGCTTACACGGACGATAGTGATTCGCAGGGTTCAGTTTGAGAATTTTTTTCAGAGTTATAGTTATTTTACCTCATATCTTTAGAACATGTCTATTTAGGTAGTTCGCCTGTGCTATACACCAGGTACTTGTTGGTAGCCACGGTAATGGTACTGGAGTTTATGATGGTCTTGTTATCAGTATGGGTATGTTAAGACCAAGAGACGTTGATTCGCAGCCAAAGGAACAACGAGGCGTGCTCTGCCATCAGGTGAAGGCACGCATCCATCCTGAATTATCAGACGACATCGGGGTTCATTTATAATACTTGCAATCACTGCACCATGAACTCTGACGATGTGCCTTTCCAGAGGAATTCCTGCGAGTGCGATTCCTAGTTACCCAGCCAAGTAATGGTAACGGACCTAGATAACAGGCAATATTGCCAGTTCCATTCCTTTCTGAGACCTCTACAAGCTACCTCCACTCTGATAATTACACCCGCCAAGAACCTATAAACTATGTGATTACCAACCCATGCTGTACAACGCTGCGTCGAATCGGCCGAAAGAAGCAGACATGCAGTTCCCTGTCCAAGTGAGGGGCCATGCGGGGAATCTGAATACATAAGGTCCCCTGCACACCCTATGTAAATCACAACTACAATAATCACACCTCCACAGCCAGCACTATCACAGACTACCAAATTTCTCTACTAGACGCCTCCGAGCAGCAGTCCCAGCAAAATGCCATTATATGAAATCGAGCACAGCATCCCCCTGGACAAGTCACAGCGCGATGAGCTTGCCCAGGCCATCACCCACATTCACACTCGCAAGTTTGCCACTCCTAGCTTGTTTGTGAACATTCGCTTCATAGATGCCAACAGCCAGCATAATTATGTGGCGGGCAAGGAGGTGAGTAATTAGCAGTTCTTCTTTACTAGAGAAGTAGGGTCACTTAACATCTCTACTTCAATGCAGCGTGCCATCAACCGCATCATGGCATATGTTCGGGCAGGCGGAACACGAACAACGGCCGATTTCGATGACCTTTCCCAGCGTGTCTCGGATGCTTGGGGTAAAGTCGTCAATAAGAACGGGGAGGATTCCAAGGAGAGACAACTGAATGCTGTGTTTGTCTTGGGCGCAATTACTACAGGCACAGAGAATGGGTTTCTGTTACCGCGGGTAAGAGAAACAATTGTTTGATCATGCACACTTTGGTTTTCGTGTGGAAAGCTGTGTGTGCTGGGGTTAGGCTAATCGGATGTTGATTACAGGCTGGGGAAGATGCTAGTTGGCTCAAGGCTAATGCTCCGAAGTTCGAGGAGTTAGCGAAGCAAGGGGATGGTGATTTTTCTGAATTGGTTGAGGATCTGCGGAGTAGAGATGATCTAGCTGTTTGAGTGCAAAGGAACACGCATGCTGAGTAGCTTTACGTGAATGGTAAGTAGTTAGAAAACTAAGCCATACCTCCTCTGTTGGAGATGTCTAGTATTACATATGACTGCTGATATATAAGAGGATTTGGGCATGAATCAACACTCGGCCTATCTAGAACAAGGAGGTCTCCAAATTAATGGCCAGTAGTAAAGAGGTAAGACTGCCATATGTGTCTGATTTGTAATGCAGACTTGGGTGGGCTGTTCGCTTTCAATCGGCCATGTGGGACGTACGCCCTGCAGTTGACACTCGCATGACGCCGCGGGATAGAACAATCTACAAGTCACACACAAGGGCGTATTGTCATTAGGATTTCAGTGGGCTTGGTGTAGACGCCTAAAGCGGCCGCCAAGTAAAACCTCAGTATCACGCACTAGCATACACTGTTCAGCGTCCCAACCCGAGCTTCGCATATTGGTCGGTGAACTCCCTATAAAGCTTGTCCAGCGACCGGAGATTCAACGGATCTTTGTCATTGTCCTGATCCATGAAGCAGAGCATATTGTGGATTTCGAATGTGATAGCCAGCATATACCCGAGCTCGGCCTCCGCGAGTATCTGCTCTGCTGTATCCGAGTCACCTGTTTTCTCGTTCCACTGCGCCGCATATTGGTCGCAAAAATGCCGCTTTTCCTCGTCTGAATAAGGTCGACAGTTGGCGATTTGGCTCTCCTCGTTGAACCACTGGAACATCTTTTGCAGAAAGTGTGCACCGATATCAAACGCCCGGTAGTTGCGAAAGACGAATTCGAAGTCGATAAGAACAACTCTGCCTTCTCCCACTTCTGGACTATTCCTCACCAAGACGTTCATGAATTGGAAATCATGGATGCACCATCCCTCTTTCGCTCCGATGGATTCCAGTTTATCTATAACCCGTCGAAGTCTAGACACAAAGTCATAATCCACGAGATGATCCAAGCAGACGCCCCCTTCATGAGCCAGTCTCCTCAGCTTGTCCTTTCCATGATACTTGTCAAGCTCCTTAGTGACAGTATCATAGTATGTCTGGACTGAATTCTTCCTCAATAAGGTCGTATCCATAGCATGGAACGTAGCAAGAGCTCTCGCAACATCGGCTCGGATCTCGGGATTTTCAACGTCCTGTGGTACCAAGGTACGTGCATCCAAGTACTCATCGACCCTGCCGAAGATTCCATTCTCACTTTGGAAAAAGCCAAGCACTTTTGCGCCATGGCCAGATTGGCCGTACTCGTAGGTCAACTGCGCTTCTTCGGACTTGCTAGGAACTAGATGCTCGAATACTTCGATCTCCCCGTCAAGTTCACCGTGGATCTTGAGAAATACCTTCAATGGCTCCAAGTGGGATGTTTCGCCCGTTGTGTTCGGTCGCTCCACTATACAGTTGGTATTTGCGTATCCGGTAGTGCGTGTCACTGTGAGGGTGTCTGAGTCCACATGCGGCCATTCACGGGGTAGAAATGTGCTGATGATGGTTTTTGCTGTCGCCTTTGGTAATAGGCTATCATGGCTATTTTTTGGGATTGTCACAGGGATGGTTGTGCAGGATGCCATTCTGTTGGGGGGAGAAAAGCAGTGTAGTTATGAAATTATGGTAGCAAGGTCTGAAAGATATATCTATTCTCTAAAGAGGCTTAATCTTAGATAAGACGATCTGCTACTATCTTTGATCATCCAGTCATGGTGACATTGTGTCATGCCATTATTGGCTGAGAACGTGGCAGTGAGGATAAGGCTGTGCACATGGTGAGTCATCAGCGCGAGCCTAGGCAACAACCGTTTTTGCTTCTTATTGTCGCCCTGCTTATGCTTGAAAATAATCATATGATTCTCGATTTCACATATGCATCACATATATATATCATTAGAACTATCATAAGTGCTACTGTGATAGTAATAAATGCTGGGTCTCCCTAACACGTGTAAGGGCGGCTTATTGAGGGCGTGACATTGCAGGGAAAACTGTACTCCATATGAAGATTGTTGCTGTTCTTAGATGGTAGGTTGAGTAATTTTGGCTAATCATCGGCGCGGGCGCGGGAAGGTGCCTCGAGTGAGAATGGGGCTGGGTGACCATTCTTGTGTGTAAGATATTAATATATAGGTCGCTCCGCTCAAACCGTTTAGTACTTATGAGGTCGGTTTGGCCGGGGAAACAGTCAGCCTCTGGGTGAGAGGATAAGAAAATATAAGGATAGCCAGTGTCCAGGCTCATTGGAAGATGAAGTATAGTACATGCTCGCAAAGCATCAACTGAGCCTTCCAAAGTAAGAATGGCAGGAGTTGCCAATATCTAAGAGGTAAATACCAGCCCCTGCATGTAAGTGATTCCCATATGTAGGAGACACTGCCTCTAACGCATTCACTTCGTCATTGCATAATCAACATAACCTCGTCTTGGTAGTATTTTACTGCCGTAGGCACCCCCTCACCCACCAACAAGATCTCCAAATAGGCGATTTACACCCAAATAGCTATCTTTTCCGGTTAATGCAAGATAGGGGTTGAGGGACTCAAGGCCTATCGCAACTTTTATTTTCACACACAACGAGGGATAAATGGGATATCAGATCCTAAGAGCCTGGGCTCAAGATAGTATTAAATTTTCTTCGAGACAAGCGATTCACTACATTTACGGCCATACTATGTTAATGCAGACCGACAATAGGCTATTGTCCGCTGAAATAGTATATAATCAGAGATATAGTCCAGCGGCCTGGGTATGGCGATGGACCGTCACCTTAGACAGACACAGAGAGAAGCTAAAGTTTTTTTGCGACCGTAGGCGGGGGGGTTCGATTCTCGGTTTTTTTCTTCATGCTTTTCTTTCCTGTAGGAATGGCTCACCTGCGTCATATGTGTGAATCATGATTTGTACTGCCATACGTTGCGGTTACCGCCTGCATGTTCCCGTATCTTAAGTCTGGTCATTCAAACTATGATGCTGGAATGACAGACTACGCTTGCAAAGCTGATAGTAAATACCAAATTGTCTTCTACTATATTTCTCGCAATATCTCCTAGGCGATAAACAAATGCACACAAAATCACATAGCCCCCGGGTTGCGCCTACCTTATAAGGAACAATCCCAGCTGTCGGAGTATGTGGTATGCCATTAACACCTATGCCAAGCAAGGTTTAGCCAACACTAGAACATCATGACGTGGTGCAAGCTCCGGCTATCGTGATAAGAAAATTAAGAAATTGTATAAAGAAATATCAAGGCATGTCCTGGCAACGGGCTGAACCCGCCATGGTCTCGGAATCAGCATGAAAGGCGACATTCGACATTCATTTGTTATACCCACTTTCCACCAACATACCTTGGCAGCTCTCTGTACATCCAAATATGTTAGCTGCATTTGAGATACACATACGTCTGAGCTGGAGAAAGGGATCTAAGAACCCGCCTACACGAAATCATAGTGAGTGCACCATGACCGAAATGGATGGTTTCAAGATTAACTGCTCGCTGCCCAGTCCATCCTGGGGTAAGCTTTACGATCGTTCCCTTTATGACGTAACTGCCTGGAATATGACTGTCTTCATTTTAAGATGAGCTGCTCTGACAGCACTTTCCGTTAGAAGTAGACAGGGTTGGAGTCTGCGGCCTAGAATTGGAGGTTGGAGACCCCGACTTGGCATGAGGATGATACCTACGTGAACCTGTGTAGCAATCCACAACCTTCAACTTCCCACATTGTTCACTGACTAGAAGCAGAAGATTAGATGTCTACACAAAATACCATGTCACCTGTATCACAAAGCCAATTCCCAACATCCACCAGCGGCTGGACCCTCGTTGGCACTGCTCCCGACGACGGCTCTGGGGCTCTAGTGTGGAAAGATGAGCTCGAGCTTCCCGAGCTTGGCCCAACTGATGTCCTGGTAATGGATATCCGAGTATTGCTTGATGCAAGGTAGATTGGGAATATTATTCTCCTATCCCGTGTCTGCATATGCCAAGATACATGAGATTCATGCCTTTTGGAAGGTGCCTCCTCCGCTACCCGCGCGATATCTGAGCCCTGGAGAAGGCGCTGCACCTGAATGCAACCGGGCAATTTCCGAACTGCCCGTTCCGGATTGTTCCTGTCGTGCGTGCTATAAAAGATCAGCATATCGTGTATTTAGTCGTGGTGGGGCTCGTGAGAGTAATCAGGAGCAGCTATCGGAGCCGGTCCAAGTCTTGAGATTTGATCTTGGAGAGTATTTGGAGACCAGTTCACTTGGGGTTGGGGCGACCTGGTGATGAGCACACTCTCTTCTCCCCTTTTACAATAAACAAAACGGACCAGAGGAAACAACATCTTGTTGTTTGATTCAATAAACCAAGAGTAGAAGTATATATAAACCACTTCCACTATTCACGAAATCCAAAAGAAATCGAGAAGTCCACACCTCATTACTGTGATCCGCCATGTCTTGAACAAAATACTGGCTCCCTTAAGCAGATACATGACTCAAAGAGCAAAGTTGATAACAGGCCGATACCTTATCGTCCTCTCATTCATGTCCTCGAACGCCCTTTCAATATCTCCCAGTGCGTACTGCTTCGTTAGGCACTTGACGTCCTGGATATGCGCGAAGTCAATCGCTTCACTCGTCTCAGCAGCAAAGCCAGATGACCAGGTACGGACTTGCTTTCCATAGACGATGAGTGGGGTGAAGTCAATTGTCACGCCGTTGACAGCTAGACGAACCCTCGGTTAGTAGGAACTAAGAGAAGGCCGTGGGGTACAGGGATGTAGCGTACGAGCAATGAGGAGGATAGATCCACCAGGCGCCAACGCTCTGGTCATATTCTTTACCCTGCCGACATCAATAAGTTAGCCATTTGGAACAGGAAAAATGAAGGGAAAAAACAAAAAGAAAAAAAAAAAAAAAAAAAGAGTACTCACAACTCAGGGCTGGGACAAAGAACAACCACCAAGCTCGCCCGTCCCTCCCTCTGCAGCACCTCCACCGCATCCTCCCTCTTCGAATTTACGAATAAATGCGCCCCCAGATTTATCGCATCGTCCCTTTTCTCCTCACTCTCGGATACCGCCACAGTTCGGTACCCCATCTTCCGCGCATACTGAATGGCAAGGTGTCCCAGCCCGCCGATGCCGCAGATGGCAACTGTGTCCCCTTGCGGCACGTTGCTTTTGCGAATCGCATTGAATGCCGTGATACCGGCGCACAGAAGCGGCGCTGTTGACACGGGGTCCCAGCTTGAGGAGATGCGGATTGCGGCTGAGGCGACCAAGGTGCAGTATTCCGAGACTTGACACATGTTAGCAACACGTGCTACATTTTGAGTCGGTTGAAGTCACGCACATCCGCCATTCCTCGTCACTCCATTGACTTCGAGATTCGCGCACACCTGTGGCATACCCCGCGCGCAGGCCTTGCATGTGCCATCATTGCCCCCGTGCCAACCGCCGCCGGCGCGGTCGCCGAGCGCCCAGTCCTTGATATCTGTACCAAGGGCGACGACTTCACCAACGACTTCATGGCCGGCTACGAGGGGGTACTCTGTGCTGGGACATGGTAAGCAATGGGTTGGCCAAGCTCAAAGCATAGGGTGGAACGGGCTGCGGACTTACATGAAGTCGAACTCTCCATTTTGGGTTGCGACGTCCTGCACGGTTGGAAGTAGCAAGTTAGTAGTGCAACCCCCAGGCTGCCTCATTGTTCGTTCAAGATAGTGTTCAAGGAAAGGACGCATACACTGTGGCACACACCGCACGCCAAGGAGCGAATGAGAAGCTCGTTCGGTTTTGGCTTCGGCACGTCGACTTCTCGCAGTGCCCAGGAAGCTCCAGGGCCGTCGAGAACAACTGCTCTGCATCTAGCGGGGATGGGTTGAGGAATGGACATGGTGGTTGTTCCCCTTCGACGGTGTAAATATAATTGGACTGTTGAATACAATGCGTCTGAACACTGATGGGCTCACAGAACAATTGATGCTCTCTCGACTCTAGGCCTTGCTCATGACATTTCTTGTCTTTATGTAGCTGTTTACTATACCTCATCTGGCTCTATGACATCAGGGTTGGACATGCGGTGCATGCGGCCCGCATGGGCCGTAGGGACAAGGATGCCAGGGAAGGCTTTATATCCTGCCTTGGCTAGAGGATTCATAGCTGCATATGAAATCATCCGATGATTGCGCGTGACGTGTTTTTTGTGGGATTATCGTTCACATTATTGGCTCTACTACAATATCAATGTTGTCTGCCGATGTAGGGAAGGTGACTAGCTTATCATTGCAATTGGATAAATTGGTTTCTACCGTTCTGGAAAAGCCTATCCGGCCAGTAGCGCGCCCAGCGGTCAGAAAGCGCTTATCTGTAATGTTGGAGACCACAATTCTATCCAGCCTTCCATCCGGGTAAACTCTCAACAAGAACTACGATGTCCATAACAGCACCGACTGTTCACATGACTCCTTGGCCACCTACATGATGTAGCGACCGATAAAGGTGCCTTTGGCTATAGCCAGATACTCTTTTGTCTCTGAGAACAACCCTTACCACAGTTGCAGCGGTTGTCTCCATCATACCGCTAGAACAATATCGGCATACACCTCTCCATTGTTCCCCATTTGGTGACATGGTCGCTAAAAGTCTGAAGCAATGGATGTTAATCGGCATTACTGGACAGTAATAACTTTCCGTCTAGTTTTAAAATGGCAATCTGAAAGGGGATAGGACACATGCCTCCTTTCAGATCGTAAACCTCTGTGTCAATTACCCATATGTGTCGGGGCCTACTCTCATTATGCTACTTCAAAGCTTTCAGCTCGCCCGCGGCATCGGATACAAACTTCGGTATGCATTATGAGAGTACAATATTTGTAAGGTTCGATTCTAGAACGAGGTGATCTATAGATTCAGAGTTGTAGATGCAATATCTCGAGCCAGGTTTGTCTCTTAAAGGACATACGGGAATACCGCACTTTCTGACGCCAACTACTAAGTCGAATTCTCAGTATGTAGCTTTCAGGAGGCTCGTTTGCTGCTTGAGCAATTCTTGCTTTGGATTAATTATCCAATTCTTGCACTGTACGGGCGGCTTCTCTTAGCACCGAGTCAGCGCTTATAATACCCTTGCTGGAGTTTCGATTGCACTCGTCTATATCGGATTCTCCACATTATTGGCCAGTGCTTTTGTAAGATAACAACTCTTACAATTCAATAAGAATTGGACCAATTGGCCTAGTGGTTATGGCGTCTGTCTTACATAAGCAACATAATTGTTACATAAATGTGAACACAGAAGGTCGCAGGTTCGATCCCTGCATTGGTCAATCCTTTTTTCCCTTCCAGAAACTTTTTTTGTCCTCGACCTTCTTACAAGGACTATTAGAGGACGGCAAGGCGTGGTAATAATGGCTCTGTCACAACAGCCGCTCGCTCTTTATATATTCTGTATGGTATCATCAAGCTTTTGAGAGCATAAATCAGAAGACGTTGCCCTCATCATTGGATACCTTCCCAGCGGTCCAAAGATACATTGAGTACGACAGCCTGAAGAATATGCTGCCTAAACAGGCCAAATAACTAAAAGTCCGTGTCTTTCACATATAATAACAGGTTTAGAGAAAGAAAGGAAAACTATCTACTCCCCTGGGTTTGAGCCACTTTATATATCTTTGGGACTCAATACCTGTTCGGCAGGTTCCTCCTAATTCTGTTACTTGCCTCGCTAACTTTCTTTCTAGTAATCCGGTTCTTCCCGTGGGGCTCTCGGCCTGTCCCGTCTTACCTCCTGCTAAGTTCTGTTTCTTGATTTATCTCTCAGGAAGTTGCCATCAGCAATGCTTGGAGATTGGTGGGTCACGTGATATGGCATGGGATGACCCGGGTCTCACATTAAGTAGATTGTGGCCAGATGTGCTTCATGGTTCAGAAAAAACATATATTCTAAGCCAAGGGCCGACTCAAGTGACTACTGTCTACTTTGCTGGCTATGATGACGTAGGCAAAAATCAGGAAGCGAGATTTATTAATGGAGACTACCAAGATAAGCCACCTCAACAAACTACACAAACCGGCCTTATATATATGTAATTGACACTGAATCTTTTCAACTCTGAATGGGTGACTAACTTAGCTCCTCTTAACTATTAGAGCTTCGTAACAGCTAACTCAAAGTATAGATATTACAAAGATAATAAATGAACCAATAATCAGCTTTTTGGTATCTTGAAGCAAGTTGAACATATTGAGAATAATATACAAGTTAACTCAATAACAGACTATAATCCTACTGTGATCAAAGATTCTATAAAAATGCTGTTAAGTATTTTATAATTTTCTACATCCAGGTATGAGCCTCTAGAGTAATACTATCACACTGGTTAGTATATAGTGATTTGGAAATGATCTCTCCTTGTATAGAACTTGGGCCGGTCGCTGGCGCGGTAGGGAACTATTTTATTGGTAGTAATGCGACAAAGAGCCCACTGTAGAGAATAACAGATGGACTCTCAGGCTACAAATAATATAGTACTACATCACAGATTCATACAAGAGCATGTAGCCTAAGTATGGCTAAACAGACAGGAGGTCCCGTTTTTCACACCCCGTAATCATATGTGCTCGACATCGTCCGATGGATAGATGTCCCGTACTTCCGTGAAAATGATAGGCTGGACAATGTGCGGCTTATCGCTTAAGACTTGGAGACCCCAACATATTTTTGTTTTTCCCCAATCAATGTGACTTCTTTAAGGATTAAAATATGTAGATTAGATCGTATGGGGGATTGATAAGAAATGATCGCAAAGATACGGACTCTGTTGTCTGCTTGATTACTCACATCGTTAAAGCATTCTTTTTCTGCAAGATACTATTTGATACCAATTGCCGCTGTGCCATAATTCTGCATAAGCTGTGTTTATACCTCGCCGGTAAGATATTTTGTCGGCTTAAATGATGTTACTCAATTCTACTCATTTGCAACTTTGTGGCTAAGAACCTGTACACCTTGACCTGGACAGTCAATGGGTGGGAAGTTTATTGAACGACGTAAAACCAACAAGTTCATATACAATACAATCACTAGGCCTTTGTACAATTATCCATTGACAAATTGATATCAACGAGCTTGACAGCCTAATGCTATCATGATTTGTACTATCATTGATACCGCAGAGAAGGGTTTTTATCCCGTCTCAGGTCTCAGGAAACCAAGGGGTGAGAGATAACCAGCATGAGCCATGATTGACGAAAAACTCTTCACGTTATTGAATGACCAGCCTATCAATGCTCCGATTGGCAGATAGGTGAAGTTAGAAAACTTGGGTACCTGGAGGACGGAATTGGAGATCTCCAACCTCCACCCCACTATCTCTCCAAGTTCAGGCGGCCACACAATAGTGTGTGGGCACCGGGCCGTCGTCAGGTCTTCTTCAACGCTTCACTACGGCACAGAGAGCATGAATATGATGTACTATAATCCTTTTATCTATCTATCCCGCTACCTAGCCGGTATCGGGTGCCATGTGGCCTCCACCACTGAAGCGTGAACGGAAATTTTAGCGGAAAGTTTAACGGGATCAGCAAAAGAAGTAACTATGCGACGAATTGTATTCCAGTGCCTTATCACTTTTACTGGAGTATACCTGCACGTTGCGGTTTTGTATTTATGCGGGCGGTATATATTATGGTTTGGAAACGGTATAAAAAGCGCCCTGCTACACCCATTCCTCTCTGCTATACACACCTTTCCGCCTGACAATCATGCTCCTGGTATCCGTTGCTACTCTCCTGGCCACCGTTGCAGTCACGGCTCAGGCCGCGGCTGTCGCGCCAATTGCCTCGAACTCTCGTATAAAGCGTGACTAATGCGACTGGCTTTGAATGGGATCCCGAGAACTTCAAGGTTGCTGCCGTCCGGAAACCCCCGGTTGGATTTGTTTACCATGCCCTCTCCGACGAATCGACTTGGTGGAACTACGACCTCAACGCAACCATCGCTCAGTCGGTTGAAATGATACACCAGGCCGCGGCCGAGGGCACCAAATTTATCGCCTTCCCGGAACTCTACTTCCCTGGGTATGTCCCATCCCGCATTCATGCAGACATGCATAGGGCCCACAGCTGAACCCTGATGCACTCTAGCTACCCTGCCTTCCGCACTCCCAACGGCCCCAAGGACTTCGAGCAATATGTGTCGCAGACCATGGAACCCGACAGCCCGGAATGGAACACGCTCATGCAGGCCTTTGCCGACACCAAAATGTACGGCGTTGTTGGCTGGGCCCAGAGGGCCAATGACTCGCTTTTCATGACCCAGAGTCTGGTTGGCCCCTTGGCCAAAGGTTCCGCCGGAACAATTTGGAAACATGAGAAGTTCCGTCCCTCTGGCACAGAGCGCTCCCTCTATTCCGATGGCCTCCTCGACACAATCCGCGCGCAAAAGCTCCCCTTCGGCACCGTCTCCATGCTTCAATGCTGGGAGGTGTGTTGGCCCACCCACAGTGGATAGTTTAATGAAGAGACTGACAATCGCTTTGCAGCACGTATATCCCGAATCCCACTTTGTCGGTTCTGCCCAGCCTGCCAACCTTCACGTTGCCTCCTTCCCGTACGTACCCATGCCTTATGCTGTTAGACATCGACTAATACCCACAGATTCGGCAATGACGTCCCCGAAGCAGACGGTGCAGCTACTCCCTATGCTTACTGGCGTGCCGCGGCGATCGGATACAAAGCCGGCGCTGCTGGGTCGCCCGTCATGATTCTTCCCACCGCCGGTGCCGCGACGATCTTTGCCGCCCAGGGCTCCCCGATCAATGAGTCGCTTTCTAATTCCAAAGAATCGACCGATTCAATGCCGTACATTACCGCTGTCTATAACACGACTGCGTTGTGGCAAGATACCTCGTACAGCGTCAACGCGTGGTACAGTTATGGCGCTCTGAAGCACATCATCGAGGGTCTGCCTGATGGAATGCCGCGTCGTAGCGGCCCCTTCTTTGGACGCATTCTCTTTACCATCCAGCAGTTTACCAGTGGCTATATCTGGCCCCCAACCCTGTCCTGCACTCCCACCTCGAGGTGGCCGTGCATCCAGATCTGGCCGGAGCGCGTGGAGAAGGACTTTATGGCTTGAGTTAGTTCAAGTTCGTCACATAACTTTGAAGTGTTCAGAACTATTATTGACGGTTGTAGTTGCCTAAAAATAATAACATGACAATACGTAGGCATGATAACACGCTGTGAAAATCTGGCAGTGGGTCGGGCTTTAGTTAGACGATCCTTCAATCAACATACTATGTTTTTGCCAGATGTGCGATGCTGTGTTTTAGCTTAGGAGTATGTACCATCCTCTTAGTCCGATCCGGAATTCGTTCTCAAATGATCGGAAAATTAGTTATAAAGTTATGATATCTATCAAGGTAAACATAGTTCGCGTCGACTTGAATAGTCTTTGTCAAATAACGAAGGAGTGGGTATAGTACACAAGAGGAATATAACTTAAAAGACAAATCTGCTGAGTATGGGGGTTGTAATTGTCAAATGACCACTTGAATGTATATACAATATCCTTGATTCTGATTTAGATTGAGTTTCTATCGCATCAGAATATCCACATCCCAAGCCCAATGCTTTCATCCATAAAGGATGAATCATAAAGTGATAAAGTGTTCGACAAATTAGCTCGTAGGTGTAATCCAAATCTACTGACATCTCCCTTCCGGAACCAACGGCTTCGATAGGTGACGATAAAAGGGACCATGCTTGGCTTCATGACTCCGACCGAAGTTGACACTATATCATTCCACTACTTGTTCATTCACGTAATGATCAATAATGTTACAATTGACTTCGAGGTACCCGGTCATGCGAGGCACCCATAAGCTCAATGCTTTCGCCCAATCAAAATATCCCGCCTATAGTCAGAACAGGATGGTTAGCACGACAAGCCCACAACCTTACTGATAGAGTGAAACACTACCCCAAAGATAATAGGCAAGTATAGAGACCGCATTACTACACTTGCCCATGCAGTTACATGGATGGGATGAAGTGTTCTGTCTAGTGTAATCATGAATGTATGATTGTGGATGCTGTAAGTGAAGCCAGCCTGTATTAGCATTGCTGGTATATCCCGAATGACCAGCTCAACACAGTTCCTATCTTACTACCAAATATGTGTTTCCGCAGGCCAAAGAGCAATGCACTATGACTACTGATCATGTTTCTGATTCGAATTTTCCACTTCTCCCTTTTCACTATTGCTCACAAACTACAATACAGGCTGGGCAGTAAATATATATGCTCAGATGTACGAGCCGGTCGATAACTTCTGATTCAAAAGAAGGGGATAGAAAAGGAAAAAAAAAAAAAAAAAAAAAATCCTAAAGAATTCAAGACCTTCTGGCGGAGTGGAATCGTTGGAGATAATGCCAAGAACCTTGGAAATTGGTCGGGGTTGAGCGGAAATGACGTTCGCTTGGCAAACTGTATTACCAAGTGGGTCAGACCAAGAATAAGCTTGAGGGGAAAACAATCCCCACATAGCATGAGCATTGACGGATTAACGCCTAATTTAGCTCCATTCAGGAGCATATTCCTCCTAACGCTTGTTATTAGCCCTAACGGGAAAGGCATGCTGCGATTTTCAACCATGGATCCGCAAAGCATCCACCATTTATTAATGACCTTAATTAAACCGGCCGAAGAACCAAGCTTGTAAATTAATATTAATGATAACCCTAATGTTTCCTGCTGGTCCTTACATATAGCTTTCTAAGCAAAAGGGATAGGTCTATCAAGAATGGACACTTATGATGGCCACAGTTATGAAAGATCACAGGACGATAGCAAGGACTAGCGTGTCTGCTAAAACAAAGTTGGACCATAATGGTACACGAAAGTCCCAACCATCCGCCATGTTCGCATTCTCATAAAACACCAGCCTAATATTTTCATTATGCCTCCTATTAGAACTTTTAACATGCTGCAGGACGTCGAAGGGCTTGAAGTGTGCAGTGCGGCGACAGTTACCCAGGTGCTTGGCTGGACTAGTGAGAAAGTGAAGCGATTTCTGGAAGAGGTGCGCCGGGATGCGATGAAGAACGGGGTGCATTTGATGCATAACTTGTATTTCTTTCCTGTCTATTCTTCTTTGTCTTCTTTTACTTTTGGGCAGGCTGGAACTGGTCGGCGTCTATGTGTTGACTAAGATGCTGCAGCCAGGTCGTGTATGCGCAAGGCTATAGCATGCTTCGCTCTGGGGATTTTGGGAAGAAGTGGAACACAATTCCTTATTCTGAAGTGACCCAAACGATAATCTAGGGATGAGTAGGTGTTATGTCTGTTCTATGATTAGTCCGTTTATGCCAAGCACAGTTATTGTTAGAAACTTTAGCACCGACAAGGAATGGTCGTAAAGAAAATAATTTGATAGACCGCAGTGCTGCAATCGCGTGATCTTACTAGTGTATAGATTTTTAGTGACTGTAGGGATTTGGTGGGATCCATGTGGCATTTACTACTACATGATCGAATATATATATAATCTTGCTGCGCGCGTCAAATGTTTTGTAGCAACTTAAACAGGCTGAATTTGTTCTGATACTTTTCAAGCCACATGATGCTAGAGGATCCTATATATTTAGGGAGTATTCGAAACACTTGCACTTAATTGAATACCCCGTGGCTTGTAGTAGGCAGGGGAGTAGGAGAAGGTCTCAGAGAAGCAGAAGTTTCCACATCCTCATCCGGACCATCGTTTACAGCAGGCTGGAAGATGCCATCGGTATTTTGGCAATGGCTCACATAATTCACTGTCACCTTGCAGCCATTAGATAGCAGAGCGTGACCACATATCTTGCAACCACCACCGGAGGATTGCATGATATGGTCGTAGTGCCTAAAGTCAAAGTAAGTTCCAGTTTATTATCCGGGATTAACATTGAAGAGGAAGTGACTCACGCTGCCAGCTCAGCCCCTGTCATTTCGCAGTTATCTCCCTCGACAAACACACCGCATCCAAATCCTGCGTTCATGCCGTCGGTATAACATGTTCCAGAGTTTGTGTCTTTCTTAGTGGTGCTGAAAATAAATTAGAGGGACATGAATTATTCTGGTGTGGATCATGATCTTACCCGTAGGTCACCGTGCCTAATAGGTCATCCTTTGCCTTGTCGCAGAAACTCCGTAGGTTCGAAAAGGTACCGCAGCGCGAAGATCCCTTACAGTTATAGCCTGTTTCCGACGCGAAGGCAGTAGTGGAGGTCGTCGTTGAGGTCGTCGAATGAGTCGTAGATGTACTCATGGTGCTGAACGTGCTGCTGGTGCTTGTCGACGAGTTAGTGTCATAAGCCATGGAATAGTAACTGCTAAGGTCGTCCAGTATCATTGTCCAGAGGGCGGGGTCTTCAGACACGGTTGAGTCCACTGCAGTAATCGTGCCCTCCGTCAGGCCATCTCCGGTTATTGTGCTGGTGATTGTGGAAGGATTCGCTGAGCATGCAGTGATAGTGGAGCATTGGCTGGTAACGGTAGTTATGGAGTATGTAGAGGCTGGAGTAACGAGAGTGCTGGAGATATACTCGGTACATCTGTCTGCCTCCCTTGAATCACAGTCAGTGTCCTCTGAATTGCACTTGTCTCCGTTGCATATGCCGTTCGTGCAGCCCGGACCACTGCAGCTAACTACACGGCAATTCGGACCTGTGCAGGTATGCGTTGAGGAAGAACAATCGACGCCGATACAACCCCAAGAGAGGCATTCAAAGCCAAAGCATGCCCCCTCAGCGTCACTTCCACTATCATCATCCCCACTATCGTCTCCATCATCTCCGCTGTCGTCACCACTATCATCTCCATCATCACCACTGTCATCCCCATCATCTCCGCTGTCGTCTCCGTCATCCCCATCATCTCCGCTGTCGTCTCCGTCATCCCCATCATCTCCGCTGTCGTCTCCGTCATCCCCATCATCTCCGCTGTCGTCTCCGTCATCCCCACTATCATCTCCGCTATCATGTCCGCTATCATTCTCATCGTCATAACCATTGCAATCAGTGCCAATACAGCCATGATCCTTGCACTTGCTTCCAGTGCAGTGCCCATCCTTGCAGTCTCGCCCACTACATGCAGTAGGAGTGCAGTTCTCTCCCACGCACACCCGATGTTGACAATCAGAGCCAGTACAACCACGCTCAATACAGAGCCCCTGTCCTGTGCATTTTCCATTGACACATCCTGGGCCCGAGCACTTGTTTACCGATGGTGGGTCAGTATCCAAGGGATCGATAAATCCCGAAGAGCTATTTTTACCGCAATCCGTTAGGCAGGGTCCATCGCAAAAGTTGCTGCACTTGTGACCACAGTTGGCAGTACATGTTGGACCAGGAGGGCTGCCTTGATTGAAAGTGACATTCGGATATACTGTGCCCCCAGTCGACCACGGCCAAGGAGGGATGTGGATCACCCGCGTACCCAGTGGGGAGTGAGAAATGCCTGTTTCATTTAGTGGATTCGGGTCATCGATGACTGTCACGGGGGGTAGGTCGATGCTGGGGATTAAGGTTCCATGTGCAGAGGTTATGTGTGGATTGGTGATGTTCCAATTATAATAGCTGATGGTTCCGATCGTCACTGGGGGCACGGCGATGTTGGTGGGCATGATATAGCGGGTTGTTCCCGTGCTGACGCCAGTGGATGTACCCGAGGTGACGGTCGTCGTGGTATTCCAGACAACCTCCAAGCTTGTTGGGTACGACTCGGGCGAAATCACTGTCGGGCTGCCAAGGATATCCTGAGGAAATATAATGTCGACAGGGGCTATTGCAGTTACAGTTGGCGAGGTAAACACCTCCGGCCCCACATAGACGATACCAGTGCCATCACTTCCTCCTTCAGTATTGGCACCACCCATGCCGGTGTCGCTAGAAGACATTTCGTTCGGATTCTTGAGAGACCCAGGCCCACCCATATCGAGAGCCCAGCTGAATAAACCTCCTAGACATTTGCTATTGGCAAAGTCTGCCTTTTGCTTCAAAGTGCGAGCATTGTCAAATGAGACCCTGTTGCAATGTTACGGTCAGACCAAGCCACGCGGGTGAGTGATGCAGACAGAAATTACTCACCATTGATTTCCGCTCCATGTCATCCAGTTCACTCCAGATGTCTCATCATACTTAATATTGACTGAATAGTCTTGAATGATGCGATTGATCTCGTAGTCTGATAGGATTCCACTAGTCTGGGTGCATTCTCCAGCAACTCCCCCACCAGTGCTGTTGTTTGCAGTATTGAAGGGACACCCCGGAGTATTGCATGAAGGATCAGCCAACGTGAATGACCGTCCATAGAACCCCAGGCCGAGCAGAACTTTGCCAGGGTCAATTCCATTGCGCCACAAGAGATCAAGTCCAGAAGAGATCTCTGTGAATGAAGTTAGCTTGTTCAAGATCAGTATTACATTACTACATTCGTATAGGATACCCTACCGGTAAGGTTGGTGTGGGGGTTCACGTCAGAACTCGTCCACTTGCTTTTGCCGTCCCAAGTACCATGAATATCATATGACATGAAGTTGAAATAGTCAACGTAGGGCTCCATCCCCGTAACATTGAAGCCTTTCAGATACCCTTGTTGACTGTTAGCTGAAAGTACGTATATATCGCGATGACACGATAGATTATCTGTACTCACAGTAGGAAGATGGTATAGTGCAAGTAAGACCGTACTCTGTTCCCAAAGCGGCTCTCATTTCGGAGAGAAAAGTCACGAAGTTATCGGTATCGGTCGATGCGCCACCACGATCCTCGGCAGCGGGATATTCCCAGTCGATGTCAATTCCGTCAAACCCATACTCGGACATCATCGAGAGCGCTGAACTAATGAAAGCCTTGCGTGCCCCTGGAAATTGTACCATGTGGGAAAATACCTCTCCTCCCAGGTCCCATCCCCCGACAGAAATGTACGTTTTTAACGACGGCTTCTTCTTCTTGAGGGCAGTGAACCTTGGCCAGTATTCCTTATCCTTGTCATGGGTCGTGGTGATGGTAAAGTCAGACGTACTGATGCCGGCGAAAGAATAGTAGAGGTGCTATGTGTGGGTGATGCTTAGGTAAATGTCAAGACAGGAGGGGCTGAATGAATGCGTACGGTCCACGGATCAACATTGATATTTTCAGGCAAGACAACATCACAAGGGTGGGTTGGGTTCCAGCCTTCATAGTAGCCAATGTAGACGGCCTCGCTAGATGATGCAGAACATGTACTAACATGCGGTGTAATCAGTAGATGCCATGGTAATAGATTTGGCCAATACCTACGGTTCTTTGATGGCGTCGCAGCCATTCTGGCATCCGCTGCCGCAGAAGTCATCAGTGGTACCGCAAAAGCTATAGTGAGTCAGCAGAAGGCAAAACTTCTAGCAAGCGAGTGAGAATACCCATATTTGGAACAGCAGACATTAAGAGGACAACTTGCTCCAGGCGTTGCAGCATATTCTGGGATACATGTTAATGGACCCCAGGGGCACATTCCAAACAGCGCGACATACCTCCGCATTCAGCTACTGCATGGCAGTTGGAGATACAAACATCAACTCCACAAAAATTTTTTCCAAAGCCACAGGATCCATATTTTGAACAACACCCAGTGTCGCATGGACTAGTTGCTGAGCAGGAGCCTACGGCTGCTTGCACCGAAGGAAGCACACTCAAGGCGCTCAGGAACAGCCACCACGCGTTTGTTAGTCGTTGCATTGCAAAAGTCCGCACAGAGATTTAATCTGCTCTCTGGTCGGAGAAAGCTGACTATGGCTTGATCCCTATTATTTCGAGCGGCTTTTATACTAAGCTAAGACGACAATTTCTATTCATGGGTGTCCACTTTCATTGTCGCCGTTCATCTTTACGGGTGCAGTAAAGACACCAACTGAAAGCCGTGACCTAACCCATTAATTCAAGTATTTACTTATTTGATTAATGTTCTCGATTTTGCGATATCGGACTGTCTCCATTCGATGTCCGATCACTTCGGCTAACGGTAACCGTCGGCCACCGATGGAAATTGGCTGCTTGGCATAAGCACTAAGCCCTAATGTATTGAGGGTCCGGGTCCTTCCGATTCTATTGAGGACCCTGAGCGAGCTAAGCTTCTAGTGTCAACTTCTGAGAGCGGGTGTACGCCAAATCATCACCAGGTGGGGCCACTAATTGAACGGTTCTTGTTTTCATCTCCACAAGGAGCTGTTAGCAATGCAACATAAGACTTTCAAGATAAGAGCACTATGCAGGGGCACAGCCATTTAATCAATATGGCCAGAAAATGGCGCACCGGACCTTTATCCGTACCTGACTCTTTTTTCAGCTTTAATTTATACCCTGTCTCCTCCTGACCCTGCGTCGGCATAGTCCACATTGATTCAATGGTTGGTTACCCCACCCCCAGTACTGCTCTTGCATTAGGAGTGAAACCTTCCCAATGAGATATGGTGGTACCTGTACAATAATCCCTTCCTTCCATATTAGCGGATGTCCGTCTTCCGCGAGACATCAGGAGCAATATGCATGTTCTGGCCCTAGTGAGGGAGATGTGGAGACATATCGGAAATTTGATGCACTTGGGAGCCGTAACAAACCGAGCACCTACCAGGAAGGCCGGAAGGCGAAAGGCGTACCCGGAAAAAGCGTACTTGAGATTCTCAGTAGTGTATCGCACTATGGGAATAGCAAGACCATGCCCCTCATACCATAGAAAGGGGGGCATCATCCGGTTCGTTTATCAAGCCAGCCTCCTTCCCTATCTGAGTGTAGATGTGACTTTTTTTAACAATTTTGTCGGTCATTAATCCAGTAGCTCATTCGGAAAGAAGACTATCCGCTCACTCAGACAAGCTTTCATTCTACTACGTTCGTTCGTCCATTTATTCATTCATTATATCAAAGTAATTTTAGGGTTCACTACTACTATGTTTAAACGCGCTGCCACTGCAATGGGCCTTTTCTGGGCGCTATTGTTTTGCCATTCCCTAGCCTTCCCATTTGAGCCGTTTCCTACAGATACTGATGTTGTCCCATCCGCCAATGTATCCGACCTCCTCCCGAAGCATCTGGTCAAAAGAGCATCACGGTATCCCAGAGTCAAGTATGGCCCCACCTGCAGTGCTGAGGAGCAGGCCTATATAGATACTGAGTTAGATGAGCTCCAGCCAGTGGTACGGATATTATATGTCTTTCCCACTCGGTGCAATGATAGACTACTCACCGCTGGCAGATGATCCGTGTCATGCGTCAACTCCGAGATATCCGAGCAGTTATTAGAGAAAAAGAACAGCCAGCCAACTGGGGAACTCGATTCGCTGATAATGACCGGATCTTAACCTCCTGGGCTTCAATGATGGGAAGAACTAGATTTAATTATGAGGTTGAATTGAAAGAAAATCAAGATAACCTGGCTTCATGGACGATGACTTCACGGAATATGCAATTCATGATAAGTCAGTTGATCTCACGACCCTCCAAACATCGCGCCCTGAAGGAGAAAGTCTGACCATTGGAGGTTCCATGATAGGTGTCTACAGCCGTATCTACAACGCCTTACGGGATAGAACGCTGGCACTTACCATCCACTGTGGTGATGAATTCTATGTCTTTGATAAAGACGTCAGTACCAAGAACACCCGTTAGCGTTCCCCCTTCAGTGCCACATTTCCCTTTCCCTGCCTGACGTACAAATCCAAACCAGGTGTATATCGAGATACCAGATCGACAGAGTTCCAGCCTTATATGATATTGCCGGAGCCCGGAAGACTATGCCACGAGAATGGGGGTGGCAACGGATGGCAGATGTGGAACAAGCTCACTGTAGAAGACGAAATTTGCATCTGCCCGAGGGTTTTCGACAATGCAAAGACGTCGCAGACTCTGAGCAGTTTAGACAATACTGTTGACAGCCTTAAAGGGCGACATGTCGATTATATCAAGAAATTCACCGCAGCAGGCAGTTTACTACACGAGCTATCCCATTGCCGTGGCATCCTTGGGGACGACCAGACCAGTAAGCTGTCCCGGTTCTCACGAGAAAAAGGTTTTTTTTTCCCGGACGAACTAACCGGGAGGATAAAATCTCAGAGGACCTAAGGCTTCGACCTTTCCCACTAGGTCCGTTCATCGATGGGTATCAACGAAACGGCGTCTGGGCCGTGTCAAAAATTGATCCAGCTGGGGCTCATCGCAACGCAGGTAATACAGTCTCCGCCCAACCACCGTTATCTATGTAAGGATTCCCGGACTTTGCTGACAGCTGGGCCAGACAGTATCACGTATTTCGCCCTAGCCATGTATTACTCCGCCTGTAACTGGTCGCGGGGAATTTGCGGGGAAAAACCCTTTTGGGACTTTTGGAGTCAAGATAAACAAGAGTATATGGATATAGATTATTCTACGTGAAGTAGTCGGGTTAATCGTATCGTTAACTAGGTAGTTAGCTGGTCAGGGCCACATGGCCCGGCTGGGTAAATATATTCTGTGCTAGTTAGTTCATTAGGGAGCTATCTACGTACTAATTAGTTAGTTAGTGGATTAGTGGGCAGCAACTAGTCCATCGGTCGGGCGCTTCTTTAAATGACTGTTGGCCCTTCCTCACCATCCGCCACCCCAGTTTCTTGCAAAACAACTTGTTACTACGATGGCGTCCCTTAGCAACCTCCCTTTAGAACTTTTACGCTGGGTGGCTGAATACCTAACCACCCAACGCGATATCAGTCATCTGATGCAGACGAATACGCGCCTGTATCACGCGATGCACCCTATTCTCTGCGAATACAATGTTCAACATGATGAGAGCTCCGCCTTACCTTGGGCTGCCCAAAAGGGAGAGACTCGCTTGGTGACCAAGCTCCTAACTGCCGGGGCCAACATTTCTGCCTATTCTCCCTCTCCCCGGTATGTGGAAAGGAAGGTTCACAACAGTAGGGACATCGATCCGTGGGCCAAGAATAATTCTTTGTTATACGCAGCCCAGGGGGGCCACACCGCAATCCTCAAAACACTTCTTGGGGAGACCCGGTCGGGCCAAACGGCATCGCCGGCACAGTTGCGGTCGGTCCTGCATTGGGCGCTGCGCCAGCACGATGAACAGCTAGTCGAGCTGATGTTTGCTCACAAGGCCCCCTTGGATCCTGCAACAGAATCAAGCGGCGCCCCATCTGCCCTCGGAGTCGCCGTGGCCGCCAGCTACAACGCCATCCTCCCCCGACTTCTGGCTCTTGGCGCACGTCCGGGGCCTCATGAGTGCCCGTGCCCAACCGAGCGGGCCATTTTCACCAAGCAGCCGGAAGTTATACGGCTGCTGCTAGATCATGGCCTTGGCCTATACGGTGATAATGCGGTTTGTCACCTTGCCCATGAAGACGATCGCGATACGCTTCGGCTCTTGCTCGCATACGGCATGGATCTGGTGAATTACGGTTCGGCAGCCCTATTCACAGCTATTCGAGACGGCCACTACGAAATGACTGAATTGCTGATCGATAATGGGGCCATCAAGGATGTATGTTGTGAGCTGTATCCGCCGTCTGGTCTCTTTCTCGGTACTGCGTATAGCGCGGTTGCTATGGCTATATTGTATGAGCGGCTTGACATCCTGAGGCTCCTCCTCGACAAAGGCTTCCTTCCCGGCCCACGAGACTTGGAACTTGCCACTGAAAGGAGTTTTACTGAGGCTGTGTCGCTTTTGACACCTTTCGCAGAACGCGACCTACATGACGGAAACGTTATCAACATGTGGCACGCCTTTGGATGGGACCCTAATAATCCCAGGCCCCGGGATGGATCCATGTGGGATATTAAATCTCGCAGTCAGGGAATTATTGATACTTCTGGAACTAGAGAGCCAGAGCCGGAGAGCTTGTGGGCTACGGCTGTATCTAATGATGATTACAACGACTCTGACGGTGACTACGATTCGGAACTCGAACGAGAGTATTGGAGAAACAGCGAGTATGGTAGAATCAACGTGTCCTATTAACCGCAAGACAACTCAGCAGCAAAGGCAAGGAGGGTTCAATTCTATATTTACAGAACTTTGCTAGATTCTCATAATGGTTGATGAGAAGTAGAGAAATTTTGTAGAAAGGCCACATAATGGGAAAAGATCTAGTGATTACCTGATTAATTTTTAAGGAATAAAGGTAGATAATTTCTTGGTGCTAAGCCCCCTATTCAAGTGCTTACTTCGGAAAACTTATAGTATCGTATGATTATTGAGCCCTATCCGTAGATGAAGGACACGGTGGCCACGGGGTAGATTCGGCTCTGCGGGAGCTGCCGGAAAGCCGAGCAAGGCAGCGAGGTAGTAGCACTAAGCGAACTAATGCAGGTAATGCAGGTGGGCAATATGTAGCAATTAAACACTTTTCCAGGTTATCTTGATAATTGTCAGCCACGGAAAGCCGGCATCGGAGTAAGACTGAGATATATATGTAACACCGCTAGCCATGGCCCCTAGGTCTATAATTCGGTTCCCATTCCTACTCTTACAAACGAAAGACAAGTAATCGAGTAGCTTCAATTGTTTGGACAGAATGATTTCCACTCCTTTTTTCACCCTCGCCATATTCGCATCCGTCCATGGTTTTGCCATCAACAAGAGATTTGACAATGGTGACTTCCCAACTGGTAATACTGACCCCAATGTGGCCAGTGCATGTACATACTGGGCGAATTCTATTGGCTCAACAGATACTTGTGCGGACCTTGAGAGCTACTATGGAATCACGGCTACACAGCTAACTTTCTGGGTAAGATGAGCTCCTTCCTATCATGAAGATGGCCAAGGCTAATGGATTACAGAACCCTTCTCTCTCAATCACTAACTGTGCCCTCAAAGAAGGCTGGAGCTACTGTGTTAGTGCACCAGCTATATCAACCACACCCCCGTTCACCAGCACTATGTCTACAACATCTTCCACGCTCCTGCCTACTACCACGGCGACATCTGCGTCAAACATAACCAGCAGTGCGAGTAGCCCTTCCCCGGCTCAAAGCGGCCTGAGCTCGAGCTGTGATGCATTCTATTACGTCAAAACGGGCGATTCTTGCTGGGCAATTGTCAACTCGTACGGCAATTTTACGCTCAACCAGTTTTACTCCTGGAACCCGTAAGAGCGTACCACTTGATTGAGACTTTTTCAATAGCTAAAACTATACACAGGGCCGTCAAGTCCGACTGCTCCGGCCTACAGCCAGACTATTACGTCTGTATCGGTGTCACTGGGTCCACCACTGTGGCGTCGCAGACTACACTTCCTGCTACCAATACTGCTTCAGCGGTTACTACTACTGGGTCATACCTACCCGAGCAGACGGGAATCGCATCAAACTGTATAATCCCCTTCCATCATCATCGCCGCCCGACTTCAACTAATTCACGGCAGGCAATAAACACTACTATGTTAAACACGGCGATACTTGCTCTGACATTGCTATCAATTACGACATCAGCCTAAGCGATTTCTACTCCTGGAATCCAGCTGTAGGAACAACGTGTAGTAACCTGGAAGCTGATTACTGGGTATGCGTCGGTATATCTGGTGAGTATACTCCCCGCCCCGGTAGCCTGCTCTCTGCAAGGCAAACTAATTAACTCCAGGTGGTACCTCCGCAACCACCACAACATCTACCTCCACATCCACATCAACAGCTAGCAGTACCACACCCACCAGCAGCGCTCCATATCCCACCCAGTCGGGCCTAGTAGATGACTGTTCCACCTACTACCAAGCCAAATCCGGAGACAGCTGCTGGTCTATCGTCAACAACGAATACACCTACCTGACGACCTCCCTCTTCGAAGAATGGAATCCCGCCGTCGGATCAGACTGTAGCAACCTGCAACCTAGTTACTATTACTGTGTTGCCACGCAGAAGCAGGCGCCGATGCCCGACACGATCGATACCTGTGAGAAGTGGCATTTGGTAGCTGAAGGGGACAATTGTTGGTCGATTGAGCAGGACGCAGGTATTACTGCGGATCAGTTTAATACGTGGAATCCGTACGTGGGTTCATCCTGTGCGAACCTGTGGTTGGAGTATTGGGTTTGTGTTGGTGTTTAATTGAGCTATACGTGCACGGGGGAATGGCGGAACCCTAGCAGATAGACGGCCAAGAGCAGCGTAAACTGCAGCCAATTTCGGCGGCCCATGTGCCGACTCCTGGTTTGACGTAGTTATCTTTACCACCCGTGAATATGATATAATTGAGCTGTTGTACTTAGTGACGATGGTGAGTACTGTGGTGTCTACTGTTTGGTATTGCTCTCAAAGAACCCCAATTTACGAAAGAATCACCCGGTATCTTAGTGGAAGCAATATCTTCCTATCACCGTAATTTAATATAAGATAAGAGAGTTTGTAAATAGTGTAGGTAGCAGAAGCTTCAGGAGCTCACAAGTCCAATATTGTGATTCAATTCTACTTTGTTATTACTTCTCTTCACGGATTCCCGGGCGTGTTTGGTATGCATCCGGAGGCTTCGCCTAATCCCGTCACCCTCTTATAGCCTGTGTATGCTTTGCGCATTCTTCCCTGAGTTGCCAGGTCTTTTCCGGAGAATCAGTCTTTGGTTGTAGATGCATATAATAATCCAATCGATCATAGTGGAGAGATAATATATTGTGAATGGCTTCGGTCAGTCATAATCATGCAAGCTAGAACCCATTAGAAAATACTGTCCCCTGTTCTGTAGAGGCTGCCTATTGACCAATTCATGCTCGTCATCGAAACAAGCCGCTCCCCACTTTTTGCATTCCACACAGAGATCGAAATCTCCATCATTGCAAATTGTACAGTTTAGGGCAGCTTCGCGCGGAGTGCGTGCTCCACAAACATCGCAACACACGCCGCGGTCAGAATTATCCACCATCATGATAAACGCATCCCTGATTCCTGAGCACCATGGGTCCTCAAATCTTAGCTCCGTGTGGATATCTACTGTCCCAGGAGGTGTGTCGTAGAGACTATTTCCCTCTCTTTGTTGATAAATCACCAGTTTTCCATCACTGGGGATCTCTTTTCCATTGACCCTCACCATAGACCTATACCGCTGAGGATCCAAGAGCAGTAGAAACCACGGTTTTTCCCTCGAAATAGCCTCTTTTATGGCCGTGCGACCGAAGCTATCGGTTGCCTCGCGATCAAGACTCGGATCTTCAAACAACGCACTCGCAAACTCGAGCATATCTCGCACGACAGCCCCCATCAATGGAGTCCTACCATAGCGATCTTTCACGTTAGGATTGCAACCCGCTCCAAGCAGCGACTCCACTATGTTCCTCGAATTGACGTCACGATCTATCAATAATGATATAAGTGGGCGCCCTTTCTCATCCACGATGTTGGGATCTGCACCGCGCTGAAGCAATACTTCTACCACCGCTGACATGTCTCCGACCCCAAAATTGGGCCATGATCCCGAGCCTCTGCCCCTGCTGATCTTCTGCGAAAGAGATTCTTCGTGAAGTTTCAAAGCCCAAAAAATAGGGGATTGAGAAGGGTTATCCGGCTGATTGGGATTTGCGCCCTTGTCAAGTAGTATTTTCACAATAGCCTCGTATCCTTTCCCAGCTGCCCAGCAGATTGGCTTTTCACCAAACTGGTCTTGTGGATCCACCTGAGCTTTGTAATCAAGTAGTAACTCTACCATGCTATCGTTCCCGTCACCGGCGGCATAGAATAGGGGCGTTGTATCTCCAAAGCAGTTTGCAGTGTTCCGAGCCTCCAGATCTTTCAGCGGCACTGAGACGACTTTGTCCCTGTACCGTAATGGCTCAAGATATCCTGCCTCGGTGGTGTTAGGATTAGCACCTGCTTCAAGTAAAGTGCGTGCAATATTGAGCTCTCGTCGCTGGACCGCATAAAACAACGGCGTGCGACCATGTTTGTCTTTGACATCAATCTTCATCCCTTCTTTTGTCAGTAGATTAACCAAACCCAGGTCTCCACAAAACACAGCAAGGTGAAGGGCAGATTGAGCCTTGCCAGTGAGCAGAGTTGCCTTTACTCCGTGGTGTAAGAGGAAGCGTGCAGTCTCAACTTCTTTGTTAGACATTGCAAATAGTATCGTCGTGCTTTTTGTTTCTGGAGAGACTGAATGCTCCACCATCAGGTATTCCAATATATCCTTCTTTCCTGATTTTGCTGCCACAATCACGAGTGCTGGGATATCTGCACGTTCCCTTAATGTGATGGGTCCCTCTTTTATCATCATCTCTAGCATATTGCGGTGTCCCAAGCAAATGGCCTGTTCAAGGATTATCTGCACCTGCCTTGGAGAAAGGTAGACCTGTGTCCCCTTCTTCAAGAAGGCCTTAATCAAGTCAGAGTATCCTCCTTTGACTGCATAAAACAACGGCGCCAGAACCTGATTTTCTGAGGTAGAACTTATACTGTCCAAAGAACGCTGAGGGTTAGCATCGGCATCGGCATCAAGAAGAAGTGATACAGCCCTGCTATTTTCTGCAACGTCCCAGTCTTCACGTCGTGGGGAATAAGGGCATAGACCCTTTGCAGCGCATAGCAGTGGTATCTCCATATCGATATTTTTTGGGTCTGGATCAACGTTGTTTTCCAACATGAGCTTGACAATTGAAATCCGCCCGAATCGAGCTGCAGAGAAGAAAGCTGTCTATTTCGACGCTGAATATCTGCTCCTTTTGCCAAGAGGGCTTGTACTGCATATTCCTTACCACTCTCAGGAGCGTAAAAGAGCGGCGTGTTGCCCTTATCATCTGTTTTATCGACATCCAGGCCCATGTCGATCAATTCGTCGATGACTGAACAGTTTCCATTTCTTGCCGCAGGGAACAAAGGGCTTTGCATGTGCTTGTTCTCGATTCTCGGGTCTGCCTTGAAGCGTCGAAGGCACTTCAGAATTTCCGTGTCAGTTCGGCCTGCTGCGAGAAAGAGAGGAGACTGGTGTTCTTTATTCAAAGGATTCGGGTCCGCCCCATGCTCCAATAATGCAACGACCATCTGTACATTGCATTTCCTGGTGGCATGGAAGAGAGCGACCTCTGCATTTCTATCTTTAAGATTCGGATCTGCACCACATCTGAGTAGATGCAGTGCAGCTTCGTTGAAGTCATGCATGATCGCATACGCCAGCGGGCTATTTAGACCGCTATCTTGAGCATTCAAATACGCACCAGCATTTATGAGCGCCCTGACTATATTGACAGAACCTCCCTTGGCAGCATAGTGGAGAGGCGTAAAACCTGAACTACCCGTGATATTGACTCGAACGCCTCTTCGAAGTAACTCATTGACTATGTCTTCGTCGCCAGATACCGCTGCGTCGCAAAGAAGTGTGTCTCCCATTTCATCTTGCACGTCGGGATCAGCGCCTTGCGATAATAGAAATTGTACTGCCTCAATCTTTCCAGACCTGAATGCATGCGCGAGAGAAGTCTGGCTATCGTTATCGCATGAGCAGAGATTGTCAATCCTTACTCCCAGGTCAATCGAAAATTGCATTAACTCGATGTCTCCAGTCTCCGCTGCACCACAAAGTGCCGAACACCCCGAGTCATCTTTGGCATGTGGGTTGGCACCATGCTGAATCAGAAGCCGAGCTATTTCCCCGTGGCCTCGAAAGGCTGCGATCAATAGTGGTGTTTCGCCATACTGGTCTGCAGGACCTGGAAAGCTTGAACGGGAATCCAAAAGAAGTTTCACGACTTCAAGGTGACCATATTTAGCAGCGTATGCAAGTGGTGTCATGCCATCAGAGTCTCTGGCATTTATATCGTTGCCTGATCTGATATACTTAGCTATCATTGGAGCTAGGCCACCGTACGCAACAAGATGAATCTTGGTCAGCCGGCGTGGAATGAAATCCAACCAGTTTGCAAACTGCGGCTCCTCGTCACCATGAACGGAATGCGCCAGCATTGCCTGACCAGCTGCATACACATTGTATTCCTTCTCTAAGAACTGAGAAAAGAATTTTAATGTGTCTTCAGAGCTAGAGCTATCCAAGGCGGCTGATGCGTGAGTTGCCCAATTTTGAGCAGAATAATGATGAAGGGGGTATTGTTTTTGTCGAAGCGTGTATTGCTCTGGTCCAGAAGAGCGTCCAGAGGAGAAACAACCGAAAGGAAGATATGTTATACATGCCTTCGCAATTTTCATTTCTGCTTCCTGAAGTATGGGATGTCCAACCAGGTACTGCTTTGTGGTGTAATGAACCAAGCGAATGATACCGGTATATACATCATACTCTACCAATCCAGCACACAATGACCCAAGTGTTTTGAGATGCGGTAGAAAGTCTTCATCCAAGTTAAAGTGCTCTGGTCTCGAGGCGAGTGCATGTTGAAGTTCTTTAGCATATAGTGCTCTTTTACTGTAGGTTAACCATGAGAGGATTTCTATGACCAACTCGTATCGGTCCCCGACCCCCCGATCAGCTTCAATCTTGGCAATAGTCCGATCATAGGTCACCGTCAATTTATTGGCACCCTGTGGCAAATTATTTAAAGCCCTCCTGAGGCTTGCTTTGGTAATTAGAGGCATCAGATCATCCATGTGCAGTCTAGCAAGTAAGAACCTAAGAATTCCAATCCCATTTAGCTGACCCATCCGCGAGTTGTCTCCCGAAATCATAGACAACGACACCTCCACTTTCCTTACTGGAGCTGACCACGACATCACCCAAATGAATATCAGGACTGTCGCCGACGCCTGGAATGCCGGCTCCAATGCCAACAAGAAGTCCACGGATCTTTGGGAAAGTGAAAAGCATTTCTTTTGCACAGATAGCATCAGAGGCGGCACCCAGTTGGTCAAGGGGCAGCCAAGCAACAACAACTTTGAATTTACCGATAGACCCCAGCAAGTACGAGTTACAGTCAGCTTTGGATGGTGGCATTTGCGGATTGCCGTGCTCCTCGTCAAGCATTTCTTTCGCCGCGGCGAACTCCACTGGCAGCGCACATATCCATCCCACAGTATACTCTTCGTTCGAATAAGGGGACTGATCTTCATTGGCCATGATCTGTGAGGGAGCAGTAATAAGGATAGAACCAGATTGTTGCATTAAGGTATAGCAAGCAGGGCGCATAGGCGTGTTCAAAGACTTTGGGGGTAGAAACGAAGTTTGCGGGCTTATGTAGCAAGCCCCAGGAAAACTTCTTCACTAAAAGAACAAGGCTTCAGCCGCAAACCCCAATTTCTTGCGGTGTGGTTCACTATCAAGTATATTGGGTTTTTTGGGGCAAAGCGACGCTAGTGCTGCTACCTACTAAGATCGCAGCCTTGCAAAAAGCGGGATAATTTGGAAACATGGACTGGGTTAGCATTCAAGGCTAGCTTCCAAGTCATCGATAATTTCACTTGCTAAAGTCTTACATGTACTTCAACATGTCTAAGCCGGATGAAGTAAAGAAGGGCTCTGCTGTGAACCGCCACCAAATAACATCTTGCATTGCTTTGGGGGGCCTCGAAACAAAGATAAGCCTCGTTGCAGCTCATGTAATATGAAGAAAAAGTAACACCAAAAGGGTAGACAAGGCTACGCGTGAGATATGTGTTATCCCTGTAGTATTATTGGTTGATTCGGTTGTGATTTCCTGAGAAACTGCAGGCGGTCACCTGGCCGTTGACGTACACTGGCAGGGATCTAGGGAGTAATTCTTAGCCATAGTTGCCCGTAATGAGGGATATTTCTCCCACTGCAAGTTCTGTGCCTATAGATGGAAGCTCCGGGAACAATCAGTTGAGCAGCGATTATCGAATCCTGACCGAAATGTGAACATCGGAGCAAAGTAGCCGCGGATAAAAGACCAATCCTCCCAAAAAAGCGAGCTTTATAACTAACAGTATGGAGACACAACAACAACTAGCATACTGCATACACTGCATGCTCGCAGTCTTCAGCTACTTATTTATCAGTCTATCTTTATAATTTAGTTCAAAAGATAGTAAATCTTATGCATAGATTGATGTTAGTAAATATTCGAATAAGTAACCATGTTAGATAGATAGTATCAGTCTACCGTGTAAGACTACCCAATTCACACAGTCTTATTTAAGACTAGTAAGATTACTTTTATATTACTTCTTGTTCTGTTAACCTATGTTTTCTTACTATTCATCGTTATTATATTATTGACCAAATGTTATTTCAATCTTATTTCCTATTTCATATTATTCCAGTACCTATTATAACTCATTTTGCCATTTTTCTAATGAATATTCTTTAGAAAAAAGAAGCTCTAACTTCTCAGGCCCAACCTTGTATAACAAGATATATATTCCCAGATCTTTCCAGAGTGATTACATGTCTATCTATAATACATCTGGAAAGCCTGCCGCTTGTTGTCGAAACAGCTTAGGCAAACACTGTACATGAAAAACCTTTCGTTCTAGACAGTAATGATGACCGGGTGTGGAAGAACCTCTCCAACCGAGACGAAACCTCGACAATATCTTCCCAGCCTTGTCCTCTATAATCCCCAGTCAAAGAGATTTCGAAAACGTACCGGTATCTTCTTAACCCCTCCACTAGGCCCAGGGTCGCGATAATCTTCAAGCGTGGAGTGGAAAATATACACGCCCAGGGGTCTTCGCGTGTTGTGAACGGGATTCTAGAAGCCATCGAGAGCTATGGCAGTTTTCGACCACCAACCACAACCGATCTTACCCCCTGCTCCCCCCGCTCTACTAATAACAACCCACCCCATCCGCATCCCAGGCCACTGCAATCTATCCCAAGGCACCCACCCACCCCGTCTAGGTCACCGATTGAGGATTGAATAACCCCGAATCCGTAATCTTATATTTCTGGGTACAAGATCCAGCACGAACTAAACCAGTTCTTCCGTCGAGAAGACGATCACTTCGGATTCTACACCTTCTTCCAGCTCGATCGGACGAGCGCAACTCCATCCAACCGTATATTCATCGTCGGCATAGGGAGACATTTGGTGAGCTTCCATAATTTTGGAAAATGAGCAAACAAAGTATAAATGTAGCTTTTTATGCATTCAGCAAGGAGCTTGGGGAAAGGATATTAGTGGATGACATTTGTAGTCATTAAGGAATATATACATAATATACTATATACACATATATTAGTTGGGCGAGACCCTCATTCTATGGTAAGTGGTCCGCGTCACTACCTTCAGGCATCAATACACAATGTAGACTCTTTAGTAAATAAACTGTCGGAACGCTAACCGCTAGACCAAAAACGATATATCGCGCCTAGTCAGACTAGCGACGGAAAGATTACTGTCCCAACATAAACTACCTGCGTTCAGACCACATTGGAATGTTTGCGGCGACAGCAAAGATGCTTGTAAATCAAGGCCTCAGTGGTGGTCGGCCGTCGGACACTAGGATGATTGGCGTAGAGCACGCTTATGCATGCTGCCAAGGCAGACTCACATCCGGGCGGACAAGGCTGTATGTAAGACAATTTGCCAGGCTTCCACCACTAAAGCCCTGCTGCCTAAATTCGCGGGGTAGGTGAAGGGGTTTGGGACAGCGCACGATCAATGTCGACATTCCGAAGGCGCAATGAGGCTCTCTTGTTGCTTGTGATTGCAGTCCAAACAAACCCCGAAGACTGGCGCATGTCACATCAGTCCATCCTGTCGGGCTCCAAAGGGACAAAATGGGTAGCAAAAAGAATGAGGCTCAAAATACTTTTCATTAGAGCACTTCATAATATACTGCATATAAGTCACCTCCGGCAGATACACCAATATTGCATGGCATCCTCCTCATTTGTCATTCCTTGAATCAAACCTTCCTATGAACTTCAAAATGCCGAGTAGCTCAACGAGTAAGTCAGGTTTTATTGAAGTTTATGCAAAATGAGGCTCACTGAGTATATTCTCTTCAGTCCAAAACGTCTCTCCAGGCTCTCTTTGCGATATATTTAACCTCTATCAAACAAAGCCGGATAATAGGGGTCGCGCATCGTGGACTAAAGAACTCCCTGAAAATCTGGTCGAACCTGCCGAGGGCGCTGAATCAAGCTCTTACGCGATCATTGTGAGAAACATCAAATGTTACGATGGTCGCAAGAGTCTTACAATTCATTCAATTGTACTGCAAAGTGAACCGCTCAAGAAGTTGCTCACTCCTGTAATGGCGGGATATCCAGGACTTACGATGAGCCTGGACCGAATCGAGTTCAGCAAGCCATTCAAACCTTTCGTTCATCGCTGGGAAAAATTCACAGCCGCTCGAGAGAGTGAACAAGATTCGACGACCAAGGCACATGTCGACCTGCTGTATGGGCTTCTAGAAAGCGAACTACATGATACTATCTCCAGGAAGTCCGATCTTATCTCAAACGGTGTCGTGACTCACGCCTTGCTTTGGACCCTTTTCCAGCCAGGTGACATCGTTTTTAGTGTCTTGGATAATCGACCCCGTGCTTTCATTTGTGGAACAGGTGATATAAATTCTCAAAGCGGTACGTTTGAACTGAACGGAAAGTACATCGACTTTGATGGTGACAAATTTGGGTTTTCAACATATGAGTTCCAACTGGAGGCATTCGAAGGAACATGCCCTATCACGGATTTGTCTGTAGCACCCCTGGCATATCACGAAAACAGGGATGCGATTGAGAAAGAATTATTATTGCGTGGAAGCCTCTGGGAGAGCCTGAGAGGATACCATTACAAGCAATATGATGGAGTCGGCAAGGGATACCTTTTCGGTCGTGAGGTAAAACTCAACATCACAAGTCGCATCGTAATTGACACGGCGGCATATATCACGTTTAATCCCCACGAAGAATTTCATTTGTCAAATACCATCGCGGCAGAGCTTTCCGAGGTTCAAAGGATGATAGCCACACCAATGTTGCGTGGTTATGCTCTCAAAGACAAGAAATGGCTCGAGTTCTTTGTCGACAATGTCACAGACATTACCTGGAACGCGCAAGCGTTTCAATCCTTAGTCCTGCCAGACAATCAGCAACATTTGAAGAAACTCATCCTTGCCGTTGCCAAGTCGAAGTCGAATGGCCTTGAAGTTTTTGATGATGTCGTCCAGGGCAAAGGACGTGGCGTTATTATGCTTCTCCGTGGTCCGCCCGGAGTGGGCAAAACTTTGACGGCTGAGGGTGTTGCAGAGGTCATGAAAGTACCTTTATACGTTTTGAGTGCGGCAGACCTTGGTACAAGTCCTTCAAGAGTTGAAGAAAGATTGAAGGACGTTCTCTCTATTGTTCCCAAATGGGGAGCTGTCCTTCTTCTTGACGAGGCAGATGTTTTTATGGAGGCCCGCAATTCAACTGATCTCGCGAGAAATGAGTTAGTTTCCATATTCCTGAGGGTTTTGGAATACTATGAGGTAAGATATGAAAGTCCCCTCGCTCTCCTGCTCGCACAGTATCTCACAGTCTCCAGGGGATTCTATTTCTTACCAGTAACCGTGCCGAAAACATGGACCCGGCATTTGAATCCCGAATTCACGTGTCGATTTGCTACCCGGAACTTACTGAGAAAACGAGACGTCAGATTTGGATGCAGTTCCTGGCTGCTCCAAACGTGGAAAAATTCTCCAACGAACAGCTTGACGAAATTGCGAAGTTGGAGTTGAATGGCCGACAGATCAAGAATGTGCTCCGAACCGCCCATCTGCTTGCCCAAGAGGAAAACACCAGCGTCGGCTATGAAGATGTTCAAACGATCCTGAGTTTGAGATCCGTTTAGCACCACCATGGTCAATTGAGTATCTGCTTTCTTTCGTTGTGATATTTCGAACTTGCAGCTCTAAGTCTCTCACATACTGTAGTGCGACAATTTTGAAATTCTATTCTTCTTTGTTTTTTTTCGTTTTCACTTATTTTCCTTTGGTTTTCTTCGGGAGACAGTGCAACTGATGGCACGCAGCTTGCGCATGTATTTCCTCAAGAGCTCACTTTACGAAAGCTTGCTACGTACTTCGCAATAATATATGTTTAGGTGATGAACTAAATAACAATCCCCAAGCTTGCACACCTAAATCTTCCGTTGAATTTTAGTTAAATCACCAGACTAGACATCTAATCCTGCATTTTCATACTAATTGCTCGGAGACTTAAATATATAGGACTATCTAAAGCTTCTTAGATATTATAGAATTTATGGAAATATTCCTGAAATTATCTGTGTCGTTCTTGAGATAAATTCACTTCTTAGTTTAAGTAATATATGGAGATATCAGAGGAGTTTATGTATAAGTACTAGCTGTGAATTCTATAATCATATTTTACTAGAAGAGGAATAATAAAGAATTACACTATAGGATTAGATAAATGTGATGCTCTGGCTGGAGAAATCCAGGTGTCGTCGGATCGGAAACAGAAATATGCAACAGTGACTGCAGGACGCAGTTCCTTAAGCAGTGCTGGTGGCTTGTTAGTCAGTCTTCTTCGACAGTCGCTCATGCCATGGTACCATTAATAGGAATGTAGGAAAATCCTGGTTCACTTCCTGTTGCAAACGACATAGGTGTGCTTCCAAGTATCATTGAAAGTATTCCGGATGATGTGCATATGTAGTTATATGTGGGGATTATGAGTATCTAAAGCTCTGTTTTCCTATAACCATTCATTAATTCCCACTTCAACAGAATGCGGTACAGAGACAATCTTCTACAGTAGACCGGCAGTAGTAGATCTACATATATCGACAAATTACAATAAACACACCAAGGCATTACCCTGGGAACCACTACCTATCCACGTCCCTAACACCCAATGCCACCGTTCAACTTACCAGGCTATGCCTAATGTAATACTCCATATTATCTATCTTTGACCTATATGAGAAGGAATAGAAGCAAGTCCAGCTTCTTCTATGTTACTTAGCAGCAGTGACTCACTCCGCCGGCTGTCTTTGGGGGTTTCAGTTGCTGTCTCCTGCCGGCTAGCTCAAGTACTGATGTTATTTGGCTCCATGAAAATAAAATTTCAACAGCGTAGGAAATATATAAACTTAATAGCTGATGTGTCAGGGTACTAGACCAATCAGAAGATTAGAAGGGTATTCATGGTCTCTCTTTGTGCATGATTGGAGAAGAAATATCCAGCAATCATGAAGACCCCGTCCGCCTGCGGAAGAAAGAGGTAGGCTCATGTGATAGGATCTACTTGTCATGGTAAAAGCCCTGTTGACTAGGTAAGGAATCAACTATGAAATACTCTAGATTTAAGGTATTTAAGATATATGTCCATAGTAAGGTCCAGTGCATGTGTTACCTGCCGGAGGCTATGAGCTTTATTATTACTGCTGCTATTTTAATATAGTTTATCACTGTCTGGACGAGCCTGGTATATATTAGATAACTAATTTAAACAAGAAAGTACTGATTTATACTGGTACTAATAGTACTAATTCGTGAGTTCGCCGCTAAGTAAACGAAAGGGGTGGCAACTGTACAACGATCGCAACCGCCAACGGGACCTCCACCTCCGATCTCGTAGACTGGAACCCATCTTTGGGATCAAATTGCACGGGACTCGCGGTGAATACGTATATCTGCGTGGGAGTGTCCAGTAATGACACAACCACTATCTCCTCTTCTACGAGCATCAACAGCATGACCAGTACAAGTACAGGTGCAACCACGACCACAACCGCTGGAGCAACACCCTCGCCTATCCAGGTATGTCCCATCACCCAGACATCCATCTTTCTAGAGAAAATCAACACTAACAAACCAGACCGGCATGACAACCTGCTGCATCCGCTTCTACGAAGTCCAAGCAAACAATGACTGCTAAGACATTGCCCTAGACGCCGGTGTCGCCCTCTCCGAATTGTACGTCTGGAACCCGGCCACCGGGTCTGATTGTTCGGGGCTGCAGGTCATCGTCTTTGTGTGTGTTGGGACCTCGGGATACGCGACGACGATCACCTCGGGGGATCCGGTTCCTGTGACGCCTACGCCTACGCAAGTATGATTTCCCGGCTCATAGTTTTGCAATGTACTAACGTGATGGGATGTGACCTCTAGACAGGGATGGTATCCGGGTGTCTCCGAATTTATGATGTGCAGAGCATCGATGATTGCTATGATCTTGCACGTGAGGCGGGGGTTCAGCTTAGGTATGTTACCTGATCTTTTTGGTTGGGATTGTATGGTGGGTTTTCACAGAGCTAATGACTTTTGTCTCTTGTTTTGGTAGCGACTTCTACTCATGGAATCCCGCATTGGGGACAGACTGCGCTGGCCTTGAGGCTTCGACGTACGTGTGCATTGGAACCACTGGGCCCATCACCACAATCAACAGTGGAACGCCTGTGTCTGCGACGGGGACGGCGACGGCGACAGCTTAAAAAAGGGAGGGGGGAAGCAAACAGGTAGACCTTCTACACAGTCTACCATTTGAATTGATCTAAATTTCTCTCACTCATTCATCTATTATCTGTACATCAATAAACGAGCAAAACAATACACTCCCACCTAAAACCTAGAAACAACTTCCCACCACCAGCGGCCTAACGCTCGTCCTCTTCAACGCCCACCTCCTCTCAGTCTGCCTCTCCAGCTGCGTCTCAAACCTCCCCCTCAGAAGCTCAAACCAATCCCCCGGCACAAAAAAACATAACTCTGTCCACTCACGACTTGCCTCAAGTTCTTTCCATGGCGCTAAGAACCCCTCTAGCGACTCCTCAGTAACAGGCTTCTTGCTCTTTTCCCATGGGTTAAGGTAAATAGTCAAATGCAGGCGACGCAAACCGGAAAACGAATGCTGCAGCAGATCGAAGAACGCGGGATAAACCGTCGTCCAGTTTCTAGGAAGATCCGGAGGCGCAGTGTAGGGCATGGCCATTGTGATTGCGATGTCCATGCCGGTGATGAGGGCTGTGTAGGGGGGCGCAAGAAGGCGCCGGATGATGAAGGGGGTGTCCATGCTGGGGCCTGTGACGAAGGTATTTGTGGTGTAGAGGATGGGCAGGGATTCAGTGTATCTTTTTTGTCTATGGTTAGAGAGGGCCTCATACAGGATTACCAAAGGGAATAGGAAATAATGGGTAAAAAAAAAGGAAGAAAAAAAGCCACACACACCCCATCCGACAAACCGTCAGCATCGCCGCCACGCCTTGCAACTTGGTTCCCGGGGGTGCTGCTTTCTCCCAGCCCCAAGCCAGCGTCTCGTCCCGCTCATCGAGCGCATCCACACATCGCTCCTCGAATCGATCATCCACCCACTCATCGCTGACCGCGCAGACCCGATGCCACCATTGCCAATGAGCATCGGTCTTCTCCCCCTTGTCTTTTCCCGTCGGCGGCCGCGCGACAACAGCAGACGGTCTCTTCCAGAGATAATCAATGTGCACTCTCCTCCCACCAAATAGCTCCCTGTAAATAATATTACGGACCTCAAGTGGTAGCTTGGAAAAAAATGCGCTTTGAGACTGTGGGTTATGAGGTCTGGCAGATGATGTGGCAAGGGTTTGGAGTTGGCGCTGGCGGTGCTCGGGGTCCGGGATAGGAAGTTTATACCGTCTTTGCTTTTGGTTTTGGGTAATAATGGTGCAGCTGGTGTCAAGGATTCCGGGGGCTTCCGGGGAGGTGCGGCGGGGTGGATGGTTGGGAGCTGGGTCTGCGTCCTTTTTGCGGGGACGGAGAAGCTTGGAGAATATATTGGGGGGCATCCTCCTTCTTTCTTCTTGTGGTATTGGGGTGAAACGGGGACAGATGGAGTTATATGTTAGATATACAAAGTGTTGAGGGAAAAGGATGGTTTGAGATAGGGAGGGGGACGGGGGGCTAAGGCTAGTAAGGCTTGTTTGGTTGGTTAGCTCATAACTTCAAAATTATATAAATACAGGTGCGGGGAACTTTCCGTACTGTGATAAGCAGCCCTAGATGTTCGATCTACGGAACGGCGAAAACAGTTTCATTATAAAAATATGATTTTCTGGAAAAGATAATTTCTTTTGTTCCTTCTCCTTGGTCAAAGTATCTTTGGCTGCTATGGCAATTGCTAGCGACCATGTTTGACTGCACTCTTATCTGTTCCCTAGATCCACAAGCCACTGATCCAGTACTTCTTAGTATGGCGGACCCGCCCCAACGGTGCTCCAAATCTAGAGCCTTTTCAATAACTGTAGCGGAAGAGCCGATCTTCAATATCTGTTACGTCCTCAGTATGCAAGACGACCTCTCCAGAAGTGCTGGTTTCCCGGTCCCGCCTCAGATTTTCAGCCCTGCACAAGTACAAATAAAGAACCATAACTAGTACCAGCACACACCAGGTTACAATTGCAGTAACGACCCCTTCAAAGAATCTGGGCGCCGATTTCGTCTGCCACAGCTGGGGACCGGCAATGCAGCCAACACAATAGCCAATGAAATACATCGTGTTGGCCATCGCCCGCTTCGTATTTCCTTTCACGTTCGATGCGCTCAGACTAAGAAGAATAACCATCACATCGGAGATGCAGGACGCCTAGCATCACGGGTGAGCGCACGCTCCATATTAGACACAGGGGACAAACGTACTAGCCAGGAGGACACTATCAATCCCCATCCTGTCGTAAGTGGAAGCTTTAGGAGAAGTATGTTGCCAATCAAGGGAGGGATGGAGAGTAGAATGACCACCAGGCTACGGTTGTTGGGAAGGAGTTGGCAGCCGAGTACACCGATCCAGATCGCTACAATCTGAACTGCTCCTGATGGGGAGGTATACAACATCGTTTCATATTTGTCGTAGTTGAGG